AAGTTCGTATGTAATTGAGAAAATCCGGGATGGTCTCCGGTGCATCTTCCGCAAGGACTAAGATTGTAGGTAAATTCCTAGTCCTGACCAAGTCGAGCCGTTGCAAGTCCGTTAAGGTCGCTAGTAACGCTGCGGCAGTGTCCATTTCCTCCTCTGCTAGTTGCTGGTCGGTTACTTCGGCCTTCAGCCCTAGAAGGGCTCTCAGGCCGTTGGACCAGTAAAGTTGCCGGGATCCTCGAAAGGCCCGAAAAAAGACGAGGAACAGGCGGCCAGCCTGATCCTTGTCGATTTCTAATGTTCTGGCTGTGTCTGTAAGGTCTGAATTTATAGCGCGGTGCTCAAGTCCAAAAGTATGGATCCGGAGCAAGTCCCATGGATTAACGGAGGCCCTACCTTTTTTCAGATGGCCCTTGGTTAATTCAGAATCGAGGCCCCACTTGCTTACGTAATTTGCAGCATGGCTGCCATCGTCCACTTTGACGCCGTGGGCCTCTGACGGATCATCAAGGCCAGACTTACGGCAACCGTCAAGCCAAATAGGATACCAAGATTGCTGGACCTGTTGTGGCGTCAATGATGTGTTGAGGAATAACAAAACATGCATGTGAGGATGAAAACCATTCTGGCCATAAGTGACCTCTACAACCCGAATATAACCATTCAAGCCTATGCTTTTGCGCATGGCTTTTCCGGCTCTTGAGTCGGTTCCTTTACGCCAAGCCTGCATCATTTGATGACGGATCAAGTCAACATCATCACCAAGACCATGCGGAACTGTAAAAGTTGCCAACATAACCTTGAGGCCGAGTTCTTGAGCCTTAACCATACCATCATTAACCTCGACTCGACGCCGTTCTGTGATCTTAGGGGCGCACAGCGGACAGCCCCAAACAGAACCGCAGCACTCAAAACCAGCAAAGAAAGCTTTCTGATGTTCAAGGGAGAGCTTAACCTCAAGATCTTTGCCCGGAATCTTGAATCGATGGCACTTGAATTGACGGGAACCAGGCAGAAGTGAATCCAAAGCCCACTTCATAGCCCAGCGTTCGGCTCTGGTGTTCTGATGATCGGTTCGGGAGAACTTTTGTTGATAAAATCCGGAACGGGTTTCTTCGTACTCGATAACCTCGCCCGTGTGCTTATGTGTAACCGTGATTGACTGAAGAGGCCCAAAAGGCCGGGAAGCGTTGGGAGAGTAGGGTGGCCGGAGTTTTTGCGTATCTACCAAGGGGGAGGCATACGCATTGGCGCGCTCGCGTGGGCCTGCATGTATTCGGCCTGCCTCTCGCTGCGCATCCTGAATGAATGAGTCTTGCGTAAGTTGTGTAAGTTGCGTAAAAAACGAACTAGACATTTTCCCCCCATGGGAAAAGATGAAAACCCCTCTACTAGCTTGCCGGCGCGTGGGAGGGGTTTTGTTTTTCTATTCGATAGGCAATTTGTATTGCTTCACGTCATTCTCTATATTTTCTTGCACAGAATCTATTGTTTCTTGAAGTCTGCTTTCATGCTTACTCAAAGAGGAAGCAAGGTGCTCTTTAGCTTTAGCATCGAGTTGGCGTGACTTTTCAAGTAATGTTATCGTTTGTTTGATGCCTGGAAGCATGGCTTCGAGCATATCAGAAATGCAAGCCGATGCCGGGGCTTCGGTAAGCTCAGCAAGACGAAGAATCGTGTCGTGAACTTCCGGACTCATAAAAACTTTGACGGAACGTGGGCGTTTGCATGGTCTCATAAGCTGTCACATAAACGGCTTTCTGGTATCTGGTCAATGAAAACTTTTAAGGAAAGGGCTCTGGCATAGACTCGCGCATGCAGAAGGCGATTGCGAGCAATCACCTATCTGCATTTTGCGGCTTTTCGCTTAAAGGCAAGCAGCTGTAAGCTAATGGGAAGAAACCGGGGGAATAGTGGCCTTGGCAGCTTCACGAGCCAAGAACCACTCCATCAAGGCGTCACGGACTCCGAGTAAGTCGCCAGTCATCATAATAAGAACGCCGTCTGAACCACCATTGGTCAATTCATTCTGAATTTTGTTCAGCTCTACAAGGTTCAGAAGGATCTGGTTTGTCAAAGTCATGATCTGGCAGCCGGTGCAGGTGCAATCTGGAGTTACGTTCATTTTTAACACTTCCTAAAGTTCGTATGTAATTGAGAAAATCCGGGATGGTCTCCGGTGCATCTTCCGCAAGGACTAAGATTGTAGGTAAATTCCTAGTCCTGACCAAGTCG